ATACTTTGTTTTATCGAGCTAAGAAGGTAGAAATATAAATACTTTTACCAAATCACCGTAGTTTCACTTTGCAAAACAATAACACTGGTATAATTACTTATTTTAGCACTTTAATATCACTAATGAAACACCACTAACGATTTAATTTATGATACCGATTGAGCAGCACTATCGTGTATACTTCTGGTTTGACAGCCAAAGAAGAAAACGAAGAAGACGAAGATCATGATCGATGAAGACCATAAAATCATTTATACCTCACAGAAAGTCACTTCTTTTAGTGTTGCCAACAACCTCAAGGAATGACTTACTTTAGTGTTGCCAACATATGATGACAAAAATTGTTAAAAAAATATTTTGGCATACGTACCGTGTACACATATATGCATGTAGTAAAAAGCGGTTATTTTAATATTACAAACAGACACTCGAATTTTATTTATCTATATAGATAGTGTTCGGTTTTTGTAAAATTTTACGTTCGTTAAATTCTTGAAAAAGCTAAAATGAAACTAAGTAATGAGTTTGACTTTTATGAAATGAGTTTGAACAGAAGGCGGCCAATGTAAATGTTGACTTCACCTAAAGGCTATCAGCAGCGTTAGAGGTGTTTAGAGTAATTTCTTCTAATACCTTCTGCTTCTCACTAATCTTTTTTTTAATTCCAAAACTGGCCAGCACTTGACTGCAGTGCCACCTGATATTAAGTGGCGATGCAACTGTAGATGATAAGCGCGCTAGCTCAGTAAATACCTATTCACTCTTACCTTGAAGACTCCTAGTCTTTTCTAAAGCTGTAATCCTTACTATACTTTCAGGCAAATACTACTGAATGGATTCTAATTAAACTTTACAATAATATAGCTTATACATCAGAATAACACATAGGCTATGATTTATATACATATTTTTAGGTATATCTGTCTTTATGACTGAATGTTACGACTTCAGCCTATTCTAGGCAGATGTAGTCGCGGGCAGCAGCTAGTACTTCATAATTTTAGTGGGTTACCATTTGCACATGTTCAACGTGGCTTTACTGCATCAAAATATATCTGTTAATAAATACGTGGTCTTTAATATTATGACTTGTGACTACAGATGTGATTTAAAAATATCGTCCGCCTTCACTAGAATTCATAGCATAATTTATAACTCTAGCTTTATATAGAGTCATTAAAAGTTTGATTCTTATTATACATATATTAACACCTAATTCATCCGTCTGCAAATGTTAATGTAAATTACTTATCTCTAGTGATAACGTAAGAGTAAGTTTTATCATTACTCGTGATTTATGTGTATTATAAAAATATTTTGAAAATATCCATCTCTGAGACATATATTACATAATTCCATAACATCCCATGTGGCCAAATTCAGAAAACCATTGCAAAGTAGTTAAATATGCTGTTAATTTGGATAGTATGTACAGATATAAAGTTTTATAATTTATAAAATTGAATTAAACGTTAATTAAAGATGTTACCGTGTGATTATGTTTAAATGCATTGAAATATCAAAAGCGATTCAACTGCAGAGATCGAAGTTCGTGAACTGACACACATACTAACATACGTAGGCTAATGTTTGATATGCGAATGTTGAAGGGATTTAACATTGCCGGAATGAGGTAGGTTGAGTCGAGAGGTCAGAACCAAGCGCTTTCGACTAAACTAAACAAAGCGAGCATTTGTGATTACACGGCATCTGTGGAGGCACGAGATGGACCTGAATACTTATTGCTAGGATATTGAAAATTGGAAGCCTATATCAAGAGCAATTGCGTTATTAGTGTAAAATTTAAAACTTTTAAAATAAACATAACATACGTAATTAATTATTATAGTTATATAATTACATAAGTTAAGGTACATAATTACTTTGTCTTAAATGATTGGTTGTCTTAAATTCTATAAATGGATTAACTATAAATGCAATCTAAACTTGTTAAACAGTTGTCAGATGAAAAGAAATAGTTTGTGTAAATGTCTCGTAAAAAAATGGGCGAATAAATCAAAAACAATAAATTTAAATATAATGAAAAGTAACTGTTGACTTAAGATAATTGCTATACTAAGCTATGATAACAAGTATTACAAGGAGCCCGCAGTTATAGAAACCATTACGACTCAATAGCATTATCATATTTACCAAATCACAGATGCATAGACATTTTAACGTAAGAACTTGTGAATAAAAGAGCAAAAAGGTAAAGAGCGAATACATGCGCATGTAAGACATGTGCATGGTTTAAATTTGAGTAACCAACTGTATCAAATCGCTATTTTAACGATAAGGCCGCCTTTTGTATACCCATTTTTGTAAATTTTTGTTGTTAATGCTTCTGTTGTTATAGTGTGTACAATAAAGTGCATGCATAAATAAATAAAATCAGAATACATATTATTTATAAACACTCGCTAGCTAGCGCTGTAAATTATTGTATAAACCTTTTCTGAAAATAGATAGTTTTATAAGGTGTATGCACATTTACTTTGTAATGCCAACACAGCTACTACGGGCTCAACGCATGGTTTCGTATCATCGCCAATTAACTCCTCACGTTTATCGGACCCTGGACAATGTGCTTCCTTCGCATTGCCGCGTAGGTAAGGGTATCTGGGGGGTTATTAATTGAGCATTGTGCCCCGTGTAATAGGACCGGCCCCTCGCCAGTCCAATCTTTATGAAGACGCACATGCGAAATATTAGGTGTTACTTGCGCCTACACAGATAATATTTAGTTACACATGTTAAAAGTCTGCGGTCGTTGGTTTTATTTTTTTATCTGTTTAGCTTTTTTCTTTGACGTTCGATCATCGTTTTTATTAACTAGCCATAATCCTCATAGATAACTTAAAAATTATCGGTTTCATTATATACGATTTTAATCGAATTTTATCAGTTTTTTTTTTTTTTATAAATGTAATTTTGTTTAAGATAGACTTCCGACCCTGAATATAATTACCGGTTAGCGGGATATTGAATTTTAAAACTTTTTTATTTAAAGGAAACATAAAAAAAATAACCGAAACACGCCTTTCTTTCGGTCTTTTCATGGATTTTTTAATTTTTTTTGTTAAAATTCAATAAGCGCATTCGTAGATTCAAATCAAAATTAAGAAATGTTAAGTCTATCAGTCCAATTTAAAGTAAGCGTCATAATACTCCAGTATTTATCTCGACAATTGGTCCTAGTAGGGCGAACAGTTCAGAGAATATGTAACAGTGGCTGCGTATTTGTTCGTGACGTCAAAGTTGCCGAGTTTACCAACGGCCTCCGCTGTTTGCAGTGGGCTCGGTTTGCGCAGGGCAATTCTGCAAATGAGATGATTTATGTGCGTATCTGTTTGCGTTTCAACGGAGTGCTAGCGTTAGCGCTGTTCTTAGAAAATGCTCGTATTTTTTAACTTGAACCTGCCGGTGAATGTTGGGCGAAATAATTAATAATTGTTTTATCTGTTTTTGTACGTAATACATGAATTATCTCTTTTAAAAGGTTTTGTATTGATCTTAATTAGTTATCCGATGGCAGATTTGCCATGGTAATTTTGATAAATGAAATGAACCTAAATTAAATTAGTAAATTTTGGCTTTTACTTTAAATAAAATATATGTTAGTATTAAAGATCATTTCTAGGTCACCGTGATGGATGGTGGGTCATCAAGTTTGTATGATATGGAGGCAATGAAAACCTATGAAAACAATACCTATAGGGTTGCAGATATTATGTTGGTGAACTTTTAAAAGTATGGGCCATGGTTACCTCACTCATTGCACGAAACGCGAATGTACAATAGTTCCCGAACGATCCTGCCAGTGGAGTTTCCACTAAGTCACAAAATGACAAACGAGGACAGTTTTAGTTGCATCCTCAAAAAATACTTATACTCTCTTTCACGTCATGGCTGTCATAAATCATTAAGTAGATCAGAGCTTCATTTTATATAGGAAATTTAGTGTTTGATGAAAGAGGGATAGGGGCGCGTTCCAGTATTACGTTTGCAATTGTGACAACTCCCGCCAACTCGTGAGGTCAACCCATTCGTGAGGACAAATGACAAGATTTTCTCAGAATATTTAATATGTTTTAAAGGGAACATTTTAAAAATTATGTAAGTATTTAAATTTTCGTTTATTTTTTTAATATAATAAAAAAAATTAAGAATCATTTATTGTCAAGAGACTAACGAAGACAAAAGGATATTTAACACCACATGACATTTTTCACTACATACTCAGTCAAAGTTTAGGAATGCATTCATATGTAATTAATTATAACATTTAAATTGTCACATAAACAAGAATAGTTAAACTAAAAAAAACAGTCGATAGACAATATCCAAACAGAGAACACCGGGAATTGCCCGAATTGTACATCGGTATGCTTAAAAAAACTCGATGTTTAGTAGGTGTAGTCAATTCTCGACGGTCCGCACCGAACCTCAATAGGCCATAAGCGCCACTCCTTAGCTGACGCACGCATGAGCACATGCGCGGCCCTGCCCACTGTGGAGGGCCTCAAACCCGTGGGTTCTGGCTAGCCTACCGGTTCTGCGTTCGATGAAGCTTTAATAGTCTCGGGACTGAAAGCGTTAACATTATTTAATACAAGTGAATATTCTCGAAAAACTCTTAAGTATTTTTCAGTAAGAAATATGAAAAAAATTCGGTGCATAAAAATAAAACAATAGTATAAATAGTATAAACAACAGTACATAATATTATTAATTAATATTATAAATATTGATTTAAAAATATTTTCCGTTTTATTTTATTTTTTACCTAACGTAAGGTTTTTAATATTCCTACCGCTACCTCTGTCAAAAAAGTAGGTATAAAACATTAAACCAAAAGCCTGCTTACATAATACTTGAACGCTCGTTAGTATTCGAATATTCATAATGAACAAAATCAATAGATGCTGCGGTTCTTTTATTTCAAAATAAATCAATAATTTTCATAAATAAGCTTATTAAAGAAAACTGATGTACTATAAATATTTTACTTCAGGACTAGTATTTGCAATGTGTTTGATTTGTCGCTTCGCTCTTTCTGCGGCGGCTGCTTCATATCTGCAAACGTCCATTTTTACATGACGATATTCTGCAAATAAATTAAATACAAATATACATATAATCGAAGTATATTATTATTATTAGTAAACATAAATTAGTCTTTGCTTTGCACAGACAAGAATTTCAAAATATGTCTTATAACCCACAGATAAATGTTCCGGATATGGGAATTTGTTCACATGGTGGGTTGTTCTCTGACGGCTGGTCGTAAAAAATTTAGCCACTACCACCAATAACATCATTCACATGTCATACCGATGTCCACTAGGTTGTATAATAAATGCTTTAAATTCTGTCCTGCGCACATCTTCACGTAGATAGGCAAAGCATTGGATTACTCGGCCATATTCCGTCCGAATAAAAAAGGTAAGATTACATATATTTTATAGAAGAATTATAGAATTTTTTTAAAGAAGAATGTGTCTAACAAACAAGGAGCTACCTATAGCTTATGATCAACTCCATGTATGGGCAATCATACAACCCGTGTGGTTGGAATTACGTTACCTCACTCGCCAGACGAAATGCACTAAGTTTGGATGTTTCTGCTTAACACCGGACATCGGTTTGATTTTGCCATTCTTGCACAAACCGAAACTGGTGATGTTAGATCTAACTGAACGTTTTCATTGATATTTCTAAACCCACTTACGTTTCTTCTCATCGCAGTTATACTCATAAAGATCACAGTTGTCGTTAAACATTCGCGTAATCCCGAGGGAGTCCTGGCCGCAGATAGGTACAAAATCGTGCTGACATTGATCTGCCATTTTGCAGAAATTTATAACCTGTGAAAGATTTATTTTAAAGCAATTTTTTTAATTTATATGATATTTTATATTAATTTATACGAATTAGGGGAAGTCGATGGATACAGGTGGCTCAGGATCGTGCTTCGTGGCAGTCTGTGGGGGAAGTCCATGTTCAACAGTAGACTCAAACAGACTGAAATGACGATGATGATGATACGTAATATAATTTTTAAACATTACACATGTAGTTTATTTATTTATTAATTTTGTATTATCATAAATGAAAAATACTTTATGTTAGTGTTACAAAACTCACTTGCTTACGATAATAACTTCAATTATTAAGAAATTTTAACACAGTGACACATTGTCTTACATATAAACTGTACAAAAGACTAACTTACAGGCTCCAAGGGGAAAAAATAATCTTCCGCCTCTATTTCAACGTGCGCCCAAACCTCCGTAGCAAATCCTAAAATGATTAAACCTGGAAAGAAACTCTCGATTAAGAAACTTTTTGACATATTAAAATAAAGAATTTAAAAAAAAACATTTTTTGGATCGCTCACTGAAAAACCTTCGCATAAATATCATTATTTGCGCACAAGTGGTCCTCACAACGCACAACCTTGTTGTAGTTCTGAAGAACGCGTAGATATGTTTACAATGCCCGATCATAACTATGGCTGTAGGACAGGAAATTATGATATAACACGCGCTTTGGTCGAAACCCATCTAAAACATAAACTATTGATAAGCCTGGCTTGTGAACATTTTTGTGGTCGCGTACTATTAATGTTTAATCTTCTTCTCGGCTTCGCACGGGTGAATCTGTAAGGCTGTGCTTCTTTCCCGGACGAGATGATCCATTTATAAGATAGCAGAAACCATTCCCTGTTAATGTTGTAAACATTTAAATCGACGAAATACTTTCAATTATAATAATGAATATGAACTAAGAGAGACGTCCAGCTTGTTCAAAGTCAATGTTAACATTTATTCCATGCAGGTTTATTTTAAGGTTTTATTGAAGGACAAAAAACTACCTATGAGTCACTGAGATTAAGACACGTACTTCGCTGTTTAAAGAAATTTTTTTACGGATTTTAACTCATTCAATTGTTATAATATTTCACAATTAGAGAGCCGTGAGAGTTCATCGTACGGGGATTCGCCTCTAATTCAATATACTCAAGCTACATGAGTTCGATCCCCGCGCTCAGCTGCGAAGAAAAACATCGTGGGGAAAGTTGTATGTTTTTGAAATAATAACATTTCAGAAATAATAATATTTCGAAGACATGTGAAGTCCGTCAATCCGCAGTTGGGCCGCGTGGTGACTATGTCCTGATACCCTCCGTACAAAGATGGCCTTTGCCCAGCAGTGGGACATGTATAAGTTGATAATTTTTTTATTCTTTTTTTCACAATTTGATTACAGCATCCGTGTTTATTTGTTGTCTGGTAGAACAGATTAACTTCAATATGTGCAATATTTGTACTAATATAGAAAAATATTCATAAACCATGATCATCCTCCTGCCCTTATTCCAGCTAGATAGGGTCGGCACAACATGTGAATCATGTAAGCGGTTTTGGCTATGTTTTTTTACGACCGGTCACTTGCCTGACCTCCTTGGGAAAAAAATTATAAATCATGATCCAATATATGATCATAATAAAATATTGAAGTTTATTATAGGAGCCGTGATAGCTCAGTGTACGGGCGCTCGTCTTCAATTCAATATACTCGAGCAACCTGAGTTAGATCCCCGGTGCCGGCAACAATGAAATTGTTAATTTTAATTGCCGAATGATTACTATCACGTGCTCAGCGGTGAAGAAAAACATCGTGAGGAAACCTGCATATTTTCGAAATAATAACAAAAAAAATATTTCGAAGATATGTGAAGTCCGCCAATCCTGCCCTGCCCTGATACCCTCTGACCAGAGGAGGTCTATGCCCAGCAGTGGGACATGTATAGGCTGATACTTTACTTTACTTTAATATTATGCAATATACTTATGTTCAGTTGGCAAAAGTTGTTCTGCACTTTTCGGTATCTTTGTATGATAGAGACTGTTGAGAAGAAATGTAGGAAATAATTTTTAAACATACATGGACCGACCTGTCCATTCGTGCAACATCGAAGACAGTTGCGTGGCCCTACCATTATGTAATGACTTGAAGTTCAAATAAGCAACTTCATTACATGTGCCTCTTAACTAGTCCGATGTATGCAATTAGTGTCAAATATGCAATAATCAAGACAAAAAATGCAATAATCGAAAACAATCCGGGAACCTTCAAACCTCAGCCTTTATGTGTATAAACTGCACGCCATAACATTAAAACAAACATTACTGAAGACTATATTATTATTAAGTAATGTATAACATTAAATAAGTTTCTGTTTAAATCGAACAATCGAAGCCAAATGTTCGATACCTCTGCAGAGTGTCAGACAAACATATGACTTCAACCCTACAACACACCATAACACGGCCGCATCGGATATTATCATTCATTAGATCAATACCAGACCGGGATGAGTATCCTGATTTATTGTGAGTGAATATCCTTTGCATTTACATCTGCGCCATTCGGATCCGTAACATGCGATTTGCGCCTCTAATTAAAGCGATTTCGTATAAATTAGCATGCTAACGATCTGACGTTTGCTTACTAACGATGGTAATGACACCTTGATAAGGAGACTCGGCGTCTATTAATTGTACCAACTTTGATATCAACTTAATCGTATTCTAGATTTCTTATTCACCCTTTTTCATAGAAGTTCAACTGTAGTCCTACTTAGTTGTTAATCCGTTAATATTATTATCTTATCCTCTCTGTATTTGTAAATGGGACATGTAAGATACGATATGTAATTAAATATCTTACATGTTCTATTGCTATTGTAAAAATTACAATAAACAATATAACTCTGTCCCAAAGTATTTTAAACATTGTTCTCATTTTAGATTTTTTGTTGATGTTACAGGTGTAATTCTTAATTTGTTGCCCCCATTAAATGGTCACCTACCGGACTACGCTGCGACACCATCGGTAATGTGGTTAATTTATTTTATAATTAGTCTAACCTCATGCTTTGAATAATTTAAGCCCGCGCTTCATTACATTCTGCATTGCGTGTATAACTAGTAACACGTGTCCTTGCGTTCCATAGCATGCGTGCTTTAAAATGGTGACTAACCTGAGCAATACATTTTAAGTAATTATAATAGCGATACGTAGCGAATATCTTTATGACGATAAATTCGTGCACCATTAGTACCAAAATAATGTTGGGTCTATTATAGATATGATCTATATAGTAGAGACCTCTGACTAATCTAATCTATCTTTCGAATTTGTAATTCTTAGAAAGTTTCATTTAAATGTCCTAATACTTTATTTTATTCTAATAAATTTTTCCTCATCATGGTAAATGTTTGTTAATAATTACCAGTCATGTTTAATAATGTAGATGACGCATGTCCACACGGCGCGGCATTTAAAAATTGTTCCGCTTTACATTATTTGATATATATTATTGAATGTGACAGATGATATAGAACGTATTATACGGAAAGAGAAAGCAGTCTATAGAATTGCAATCTAATAACACCAATTGGTTTAATTTGAGTGCCTCAGTTTCGTTACGCTAGTGTCATATCTACATCCTATTTTTACATTATATCATAGATAAAAAATAGTTAAAGATACAGAAAAATTCTATTAAAATATCCGGGTATTTCATGTAAGCTTGCCTTTTTACACTTTCTTTTCCACGTGGCTTCTGGACATCGTCCACATCTGTTTTTTTTTCTACTTCTTTAATTTACCATTATAAGTCATTTTGTATTATATTTTAGAATAAAATTGACCAGTTCTGCCAGCAAGCTGAGACTTGTATCCATGATACGATACCCATATGTGGTGCCATGGGGGACGAGAAGAGAACGTTCTTGGACTCATGTGACTTATTAGAGTACGCCTGCGATACAAACCAAGGTATGATTTCAGCACCAAATGTGCCAGATTCAGATTCTTCAAAAAACCGAGCTTTGCTGTAATGAGTTATTTCGTATAGAGGAGCTAATTATCTCATTAGTACGTATCTCTTCCAGCAATGATAAGATTGCTAGTATTCATACGAAATCTATCCCAAAACACCAATTTTTTAAAACTAATTGCACTACAAACACCAGATGGTAGGAGTAACAATAAAAATAAAGTACCGCGGGAGTGCCGTACAAACGAGCGCGGATCAATTAAATAAAATTTTACCACAGTGGCATGATATTGACAAGCTCCGTGGACGATGCATTTAGTCAATCACAGAATATGTAGCTTAGCAATCAATTATCATAGCCATTGTATGTTGAAAATTAGGCTTCAATTTTAAAAAACTTATGCAATACTGATGATTCTTAGTAATGATAGTAAAAACTCGACTTAAATTAAACTCTTTGAAGTTTGACGAAAGAACTATTTGTTAAAATGATCCACATTGTTCTAGCTGACAGTAACAAAACGGACGTGGAACACGACCTAAATCATAAAGGAATAGTTATAATAACAGCCTAAATATGCCTTTCTGCTGAGTAGCCTCTGATATTAGGGGGATGTCCACCACGCAATCTCACTACTGACTACACATACTTTTTATATTTTATTGTTTTTATTCCAAAAATATGCAGAAAAGAGCAGTAGAGCATAAAAATAATTTATGCTACTTTTAAGGTTATTCCGCAATATTTTAGTCTCGTATAAAGTCCGTCTTTTCACTCGCTACATTATTGTATTTTGATTATTGTTTATTTTTTTATTTATAGTTTACTCCCACGTCGACGATATGGATGGTTGTCCAGTTTTTAAACACAAGCGATAAAGTTCCAGTGCAAGCAATAAACGCCCTATTCACCACCACATACCACATGCGTTACTTATAATAATTTCCCTTGAAATCACCTGCAGGAGTGTGTACTCATACGTTGATTTTTACGCAAAA